AATTTACCGATACCGATTTTTCCCGATCCGATCTTTATGCAATGCATTAAGAAAAAAAAAAGCATTCAAGTTGTCCCTTAAGGTTATTTTTTTATTTAAATTGGATATTCTATCCAACATGGATATAGCTTCTTTTTTTCACAGCAGCATTGGATCAGTTCAGTTGTGCAGCATTGGATCAAAACAAAATAAAGCTTATCAGTACTCGTTAGCTTACTGCTACAATTAGACACTGCGCCCTGCCCACTCTGTTGCCAGATTTGAGAGAAATAAGCAACCAGGTCTATGAAAACAAGCCCCAAAGAAGCAACACATACATGATGTTGTGTAATTTGAAACCAAAACTAAGGCCTCAGGATGACTTTAAGACTTGAACATGGTCATTTTTGTTTTGTAACATTGAATACAAAAAAAATAAAAAAAAGTATTTATTACCCCGATTTTTTTCTCCCGATTCCGATCTTTTGAAAATCACGTGATCGGCTCCGATCCCCGATCACGTGATCGGATCGGGACATCTCTAGTTTCGGTCTTACTCAAGCACCTTTAAGCATGATGAGTACCTCACTATTTAATTTGTTTAAGCTATATCTTTCCAGGATGACTCAATTGTTTCTCAATGTCGAGTATACATGCTGCAGAGCCACTATTTCAAGTATACTACGTCATCGAGTGGCGCCGAATGCTGGGCATTTAACATGCATTTAAACAGTCCTTCGGCGCTACTCGACATTGAGAAACGGCCAGTCTTGGCAAAGAGGGCAGCATAAAAGGTTTCATATAAATGAAAAGACGATGAACAAAACAGCAACATAAAAAGCATTAAGAAACAGTAGATCATTATTAGTGATAATTATTTATAGCAAAAATGTTGTTAAACATTTTTTCAGGATTTCTGATAGTGTCATCTTTCATCACCGCCAAATACATGGATATTTTTAAGTAGAGATGCCATAAAAACAATTAGCCTACAAATAATTCAATAATTAGAGACTGAAATGAACTCACCTGTGGATAGGGGAACATGCCTAGCGCCAACTGTGTAAAGAAGAAAGAAAAAATTATTTTCTTTAGACATTTAAAATAAAATAAAAGCTGGAAAAGGTTTCATCAGTACTGTGGCAATATCTGTAAATACATGTAAAACAGGTTTTTGCTTTTCACTGAGACATGACCAATAAGACACTGGCCAAGGAGCAAAAAGAAAAAGCGCCTTTTTGGCAATATTTCAGATTTAAATCCAATGCTAATAGGGATAATGTAAATAATAATATAAGGGAACTTTGGTCCGTGTGGAGGATAGAACGTGATGCATGCAGAGTGTAAGTGTGTACACACCTAGCACAGGGTCCTCAGAAATGTTAACCCTGCGTCAAATGTTATCTCACAAATGATGCTTCAAAAAGGTAGAATGTCTTGTATGGCAGCTGGATTGGAACCCCAATGAACTAGAGAGGCATTTATGATTGATGAACATATCCATGTTTTTAGTAAGAGAAAATTGCATTAAATGTATTCAGGCCTTTCCATTGTCAGTGTCTTAATGACATGAAATTGAAGATACAGAAGGAAAATGCTGTTAAAGCCGCTGAAGCCTACCGAATGTGGGACTTTCTGTCTTTGGGGTAAGCTTAGTGCCCACCTGCTGATTACACTTCCTCATCAAACAACACCAGCTATTAGTTAATAACCCCCCACGATTACCACCTGCGGGCAATAAAATGGTGGGATGAAGAGAGGCAGGACAGGATTGTGGGACGGTTGTATGGAATGTGTGCGTGTGTGTGTGTGTGTGTGTGTGTGTGTGTGTGTGTGTGTGTGTGTGTGTGTGTGTGTTATTCTGGCTGGGGGTGGGGTGACAGCTCTCTTTGGCAAATCACACGGGGTGAGCATTTTTCATCTTGGTCAAGGGCAGCTTATTGGCAACATTATGTTATTAAAAAGTCAAAACGCTCACAGTTTTTCCTTGAACATAAATAGACCAACTAGCAGGCTGAAGATCAATCCAAATGTAATGGGACTTAGAGCCATTTCATTTGGCTTAATGCACACACCCAC